GCATATGTGTGTGTTTGTATGTATATATGTGTATTTATGCATATATGTATATGTATAAAGATATATCCTGGAAAGCATCAACCTAACCAATTAAAGTAAATACCACCAGTCATAGTAAAAATTAAGATGATCCACCATCTGATAAGAACATAGCGTCACTTCTGTGATATGTCTGTCAAGATGTAGTACCTAAACCAATTCATGAGAAAACATTAGACTAATGCAAACTGAGGTACATTCTGTTCAGTAGAGGGATAATATTTTTTTAAGTGCCTACATCATGACAGTTATAGAAAGAATAATCTTCAGGTTCAGATTAAAGGAGACAATGTGATAAATGATGAATAAAATACAAGATTTATTCTAGATCAATTTTATTTCCAAATTGTTTCATTTGCAATGAAGCCATTATTCAAAGAATTGATAAAATTTGAGTGGGGTCCACAAATTAGGTGGTAACAATACATCCACGTTAATTTGCTTGTTTTGATGGGTAGATGGTGGCTATTTAGAAGAATGTTCTCGTTTATATGATACACTCAAGTATTGGGGCACCAGGTCAACAACTTACTTTCAAGGAGTTTTGGGGGAAAATAGCTAAGTGTAATATTTGCAAATCTTCTGTTAGTTTGAGAGTGTTTAGAAGTGAAAAAAACACACACACATAACTACTACAGAAAGTATACATTAAAAATAAAATAAAAGAAAACCTAAAAATATAAAAAGCAGAATCTAAATCTATGAATATTCCAGGTGCACATCTACAATTTTAGAAAGCCTTATTATTAGAGATTCTTCTTGGTAAAAGGTCCATATACCATGTAAAAATGCAAGTCGAAGACATGCCTTTAAAAGTTAATTGTGAATTATATTCAAGAATAACAGTGTCTGGGTAGATATAAATAGTTAAAATGTAAACACTTTCACTGAAAAAAAAATACAGGCAGGAAATGAGTACTGGTACACATGCCATTCTGTGGATAGAATGCATTTTAGCAGAAATGACTGTTTAAAAACAGAATTTGTGATGTGGGAGAAAGGGATTAATATAGAGAACTATTACAGATGAAAAGACATAAACCACAAAGACATTGGAAGGCAAACAATGTTATTTCTAGATAAAGGTCACTGGAGATAGAATGAAAAAAATGCAGTCAGTGTTTGGGAGGAAGACATAATCAGGTAATTGCCCACTGAGTACTTTCTGCCTGGATCCAAATTAGACTCAAGGGTTGTCAAAGATCAACTGAGGGCCCAAACAAGAGGATCAAAGGAAAGAAATAAAATTCAGAAAAAGCTGGTAGTCTGTGAAATAATATTTTATCATCTATGGATGTACTTTTATAGGCTTCTAATACCAAAGGACTCCTGGACGCTTCTATTTCAAGAGGGGGATTAAACAGTTTTCTTTCTCTCTGAAGACATAAAATTTTTATTACCAAATAAAAATGAAACAAACATCTAATACCAAAGAGAATGGGTAGAAATTCATCTTCAGTTTAATGACAAAATATAAAAGGAAGAAGAAAACAGAGCAAAGCCTAAAATAAATGTAGGTTAGGACTACATGGAGAAGGGAGCTAATGGGCTAAGAATGACCCAAGGATCTTGAGTTTGTTTTTTTTTGTCTGACTTATTTCACTTAGCATGATATTCTCAACATCCATTCATGTTGTCACAAATGGCAGTATTCCATCCTTTCTTACGGCTGTGTAGTATTCCATTGTATACATGTGCCACATCTCCTTTATCTGATATAGTGACAGGCACTTAGGTTGCTTCCATATCATGTTTACTATAAATAATGCCGCAGTGAACATAGAAGTGCACATATCTTTGTGAATAAATGTTTTCAGATTTTTTTTAGGTGGAAATAGGCAGACAGAAAAAGCATGATTTCACTTATATGTGGGATATGACTGAAAGTAAGAAATAAACAAACAAGACAAGTCAACAAACAGAGACTCATAGACATAGACAGTACTATAGTGGTTACCAGAGGGAAGGGGAAGGGGAGTAGTAAAGGGTAAAGGGGACAAGTATATGGTGACAGAAGAAGATTGACTTCAGGTGGTGGCCACACAATGCAATATACAGATAATGTATCATAGAATTGTATACTTGAGACCTATGTAATTTTATTTACCACTATCACACCAATAAATTTAATAATAAAAAAGAATGACCCAGGGAGGCACAAAGCTTAAGGTCATCTATAGGAAAGGAAGTGAGGAGCTGCAAGGGTCTGTAGGGAGAAACCACAGGCACCTGTCTCAGAAAGCTCCCTGACTCCCATCCATATTCCTGTAGGGCAGGGGTAGTCCTGGGGTTTAGCCCTATAGCATTTTTGAAGGAATGGAAATAACTTTTTGGTTTTAGTTTTGCGAACATAGTTTATTAAGGTGATTGGAAATAGTATGGTTCTATTAACTAGTGCTGACTTTTTGTCTTCTTTTTCTAACTTTATTGAGATACTAGAGGCCTGGTGCACGAATTCGTGCACAGGTGGGGTCCCTGGGCCTGGCTGGTGATCGGGGCCAATTGGGGCCATCTCGCCCAGTCCCAGTTGGAGCCAATCGCAGTGGGCCAGGGGGAGGGACCACGGGAAGTTGACTGTGGGAGTGCACTGATCACCAGGGGGCAGCTCCTACATTGAGCGTCTGCCCCCTGGTGGTCAGTGCACATCATAGCGACCTGTCGACCGGTCGTTCTGGTGATTTGGTCCTAACAGTCACTTTGGCTTTTATATATATAGATAATTGACATATAATATTGTGCACGTTTAAGGTACACAATGTGTTGATTTGATTCACTTCCATATCACAGTATGATTACACCACAGCATTAGCTAACAGCTCCATCACAGCACAAAATTACTTTTTTTTTGTAGTGAGAACATTTAATCTCCTCTTTTAGCAACTTGCAAGTATATAATGCAGTGCTATTAACTGTAGTTACAGTGCTGTGCATCAGATCCTCAGAACTTAGTCATCTCCTGTTTGTAAGAAGGTAAAAAAAAAAAAGGAGGGGAAATAACTTTTCTGATTGGGAAAAACAGGCTCCATGACAACACTCAAAACTAAAGCCTTCTCTGTTTTGGCATCTGGAGGAGCTCAGACCAAAGCCTCATCAGCACTCAGCACTCACTAAAAGCAGCGCGCTGGCCAGGGCAATGATGTCTCTGTCAGATTTGCCTTTCCAGAGAGAGAAGCAACAGAAAACCATCTCCCTAAAGAGAGAGAGAGAGAGAGAGAGAGAGAGAGAGAGAGAGAGAGAGAGAGAGAGAGAGAGAGACTAAACCTGTCTTAGCACCCAGGCACATCAACTCAATCCTTCCTGAACTATGCAGTGTTTTTCTTCAATACTCTATAAGAAAACCAGGGGCTTAAAGAGAGCTAAGATGAATTAACATAATTGTCCCTGCAGGAAGAAAAGAGATGATTGTGCAGAAAGGGGAAACAGAAAATGTGGAATGTAAGAATGGAGGCATTAAATTAGCAGTCTAGTTAGTGCAAAGGCATCTCATAATGCCTTGTTTGTAAAAGTCCCAGAAAGCAATCAGACATATTTCACCAGAAATTAACCAATTTTACTTTTGGAGTGTTTACTTCAAAAAGTAGAACTGTGCCGAAGCCGGTTTGGTTCAGTGGATAGAGCGTCGGCCTGCGGACTGAGGGGTCCCAGGTTCGATTCCGGTCAAGGGCATGTACCTAGGTTGCGGGCACATCCCCAGTGGGAGATGTGCAGGAGGCAGCTGATCGATGTTTCTCTCCCATCAATGTTTCTAACTCTCTATCTCTCTCCCTTCCTCTCTGTAAAAAATCAATAAAATATATATATAAAAAAAGAAGAAGTAGAACTGTGCATAAGGATTGTTGAGGCAAGAAGCTGCTCCTTTTCATCACTAATATCTTTAGACAATTTAATGTTTGCCAAGTTCAGGTACATGGTTTTCTCTATTTTCATAAATAAAACAAACAACTAAGCATACAAAATAGTATCTGCCTAGCAACCTGTGACACCACCTACCCCTATAACTTCACATTCAAGGAAATGGTTTAGGATAAAGAGGACTGTGAATAGACCATAATACAATTACAGAATTAAAACGCTCCTAAACATTCCCAAAGAATACCCAGGACACTATGTCATGTCCAAGAGTGATTAGAGGACAAATCTAAGCAAGTCTCCTTAAACCTAGAGGAAACAAATAAGGATGAAGGGTATGAGTGGGAGTATGTTTGAGACAGACGATAGAAGAAATCAGATTTCTTTTTGTTTTTAAAGAGGGAGAGAATTATTTTGGAGAATGACACAATGCCAGCATAAGCAGTAATATTATTAAAGATAAATTTGCATAGGAGGATACTGCTTTTGTAAAATATCCTCATGATGCTGAAATTTCTCATTTTTATTTGAATATGGTACCCCTTAAAATTCTTTCCTATAAATTTAGGTAAAACATTTGGTAGGTAGAATAATTTTTTAAATGTTATCAGTGGCTTTACCTATCCAGACCCTTCCCCAGTTCATAAATTCAACAACGATATGATTCTCCACAATATACAAAATCCTGCTGTGGAAGATTTAAAATATGGGAGCATTATTGTCAGCTCCAAGAAGCTTTCATTCCAGTTAGTGAGAATATTCCATTGTAGTTAGTGAGAATATTTTATATTTTCAGAATTTTTGGTGGAATCAATTTTTAAATGTATCTTGTTTAATCACACTTAAAATAGATTTCATGCCCAGCTAGGGGTGGCTCAGAGGTTGAGATTCCTTTCCAGGAACTAAGAGGTCACTGGTTCAATTCTGGTCAGGGCATATGCCAGGGTTGTGGGCTGGATCCCCAGTAGGGGGCGTGCCGATCAATGATTCTCTCTCATCATTGATGTTTCTATCTCTCCCTCTCCCATCTTCTCTGAAATCAATAAATAATATATTTTTAATTTAAAAAAAATAAAACACATTTAATATACAGTAGAAAGCAGAACAATTACCTTTAAAATTGGGTCTGATTCTTGCATCATACCCTGATGTCCTCCCCATTAATTTATCCAGAAAGTCAGAAGGTGACATTGGAGCACTTCTAGATCTTGCACTATTTGTTTCCTTTGTTGCAACCAAACTAAAAATAAGAAAAAAAATACACCATAGATTTTACAAAAAAAAACCCACCTTCCTAACAATTGTTACCTACAAATATAAAATTAATATGATAAACAAAAATATTTCTGAAAACAAAAAGGAAAGCTTTACATACTATACAATGAATGTGATCATAATGACAAGAAGGTCTTTTAGGTTTACGGTTAGTATTATAAGGTTTCATAAGTTTTTAGCCCAAGGTCAGAGGTGATATTATTTTCTGTTGAGTCTGGAAACAAAGACAAATTATTAGGCTTTCAAACTTTGCATGTACCCAAGTTTCATTTCTAATTGCAGTTTTTAGCTAAAAGTATCCTTAATGATTCAGCCATAAGAAAATACAAAAATTCATCTGCAATAAAATTCTTATGGCTTTTATTGAAGAAGAAAAAATCACCCATATGATCTCATTTTACCTTAATTATCTCCAAAAAAAAGTCACATTCTGAGGTATTTGGGGTTAGGACTTCAACATATGAACTTTGGAAATTTAGCCTATGACACTGGGCATGCTCACATGTGTGTGACCCTCTAGTTGCCCAAGAATATGTGGAACTTTTCCAAACCTCTAAGGACATATTATTCCGTGGCTTTTTCTTTTAAGCTCTTTAGTTAGTCTGTTGTTTGCCTCCACTAATACCCTCCAGTAACTGTGAAGTCAAAAAAGCTGCCTCTTTAAATGTTTTTGACAAACATTCCCAGGAAAAAGCTTTTCACAATGGGTACTCCCTAAGTTAGGTCATATAAAAGGAGTCGTGCAAAGTCAGGTCTTCCAGAAAACTCCACACAAGTCAAATAATAACCCTTCAAGAATGAGGCTTTAAAAGGAGTTCAAACTCCATTCTGCCCCCTCTCATAGCTACCAGGCTGTTTTTTATAGCGATTGTTGGCTATTGGTGCTCCCTTGAAGCCTGAGAAGGGGGGACAAGCATAAGGCAAGTTGCAATAAAACAACTCCCACTGTTCTGACCAAGATTCAGATGTTTTTCTTGATTAAACTATTTCATGGATTATTGCAAGTCTCTGATTAATTGCCAGAGCTCTAAAAAAGTTGGTTGTCACATTTTTGGACTGTTTTCTTACTGCTTTTATGGAGGACACAATTTATAGAAGTCCATAGTTTTTGCTGACATCACCACTCAAACAGTGTCTTCCTAGACTTCTTTTTATATTCGTTTTATTATATTTGTGCTTTAAAGACCCACGACCTTCAGTGGCACCCTGGAGCTGCCCCTCTTCTCTCTCTCTGGATAATTGTATTTACTCCCATGGTATCAGCTATCTCCCATAATGCTATTTTGTAGGACTTAAATATCATTTTTCATAAATAATGTAAATATTTGCTTTTAAAACAAAGGATACAAGTTTACCTTTGGGTTTCCCCATAATGAACCCTATTACCAAGCACTATTGGTTTGCTCTAACATCTCAAATTATTTGAATAATTATATAACAAAAACAAGATTATTATTGTTTCAGTAAGATTCAAGAATTCTTTATCCTTTTAAGGTTAATAATGTATTATTAATCTTTTTAGTCTTCATTTCTTTTGAGATATTCAAAAACAATAACTGAGCTACTACAATAATCATGCCCTCCTGAAATTTGATTTGAAATTGGTTCTATTTAAAAGTTTTTAATAATTCAATTACAGTTGACATTCAACATTATATTAGTTTCAGGTGTATAGCATGTAGTGGTGAGATATTTATGTAATTTATGAAGTGATCCCCCATAAGTCTAGTACTCACCTGACACCATGCACAGTTACTGCAGTATTATTGACTATCTTCCCTATGCTGTGCTTTACATCCCAATGATTATTTTGTAGCTGCCGAGTTGTACTAACCCCTTCACCTTTTCTACCCAGCCCCTCAACTCCTCTCACCTCTGGCAACCATCAGTCTCCATATTTATGAGCTTAACATCGGTACTTTTAAAATTCCATTTGAAATAGGCTTTTAGTGCCAAAAATGTGTTTCCAAATATATTATGCAAAGATCATGACACTGATTCACCAGCAATGGGAATATATAAAAATTAATTTTATAGGAGACTAGACTCTTATAAGCAGAAGCTCATTCATTTATTCATTTAACAACTGTTATTATTGCTTCCAAAGAGTCTGAAATCATGTCTGTAATAGTTTGAAAAAGAAGGGATAATATATATATGATATGAATTTAATCTTCTTAAAGGTTAAATAAACATTAAATAACTTTTTAAAGGTTATCATAAAGCCTTTTAATGCTTATGAAATAGTTTCCCACTAAAAATAAAAATTTTCATTGTTTACACAATTAGTAATTAAAATAAGCTCATGGAAAGAAAACACAACCCTTCTTATCACTACCATAGTCAAGGATAAAAGATAAATATCACCAGGAAATAATCTTAGAAGAGCAAACTATTTCACCTCATACCACAAAATCTATTAAAATTATGTACTTTCTATAATAAATGTTATATATTTTACAGTAAAATATAGTATTACTTTTTATTTTAATACTAAAATAAAAATTATTACACATTTGTATTAAAAAAGAAATGATGGTTCTTTTTGACATGGTACTTAAAATTAATAAAATTACAAGTATAATTTGATCATTGAGTTGAAGGAATACATGAAATACACATTGGACTGTGATGGAATGAAGAGAGGTAAATTTAGTTTTAAAATACAATATAGAAACTTTTATAAGCCTTTTGTGAACTGAATGACGTTCACTAAAAATAAAATCATAGTGCTTTCATTATATAAAAGTATCCTTTATCACACCAACATGCATTTATTTTTTTTTCCCCCTGCCCTTAACAATCCCCTGGTCTCCCCTACCCCCCAGTGTCTTAAGTCCATTGGTTATGCTTATATGCGCCAACATGCATTTAAATATCTGTTAAACGTTGAAACAATAAATTAAGGTGAAGAGATTAGCCAAAGAACAGATATGAATAACCCATAGACACAGACAATAGTATTGTGAGGGCCAAAGGTAAGGGAGGTGGGGGATGGGTGGAGGTGGGCAAAGGCAGGGGGAACTAGGGAAATCTGTAATAGTGTCAACAATAAAAACAAGGTTTATACAAATAAAGTTTTAAAAAACAATGCATTTTGAGTTCTCATATAATTTATTCCATGCAAAGCACTGTGCTAAGAACACAATCTGAACCTTTAAAGTGTTCACAGTTGGGTAGATGACTGTCTAGATTCATCTGGATTCTACAGGGAATCCTTGGGAAGCATCCATGAGCTGGAGCTGGGAAGTGAGATTACAGTGAAGATAATGATTGGCCAGCTCCCTTTTTTCTATTGCTTCGAGCAAAATCTTCACGTTTTGTAAGATGGATTCACCACCAAGCTCTGCAGAATGATGCCTATCAAAAATGAGAAATTCTGAGCAGAAAACTATTCCAATAGTCTTTACTAGTTATGTTCCCTTCAATCACACAGAGCCATCCAACTGCTTCTGGACAATTGAGTTTATTTCTGAAGATTCACAATTTTGACACAAAATGACTTATTGTCAGCAAAACAACACTGACTCATTAATTGGTTACAAAGCATTTCTACATAGTCTAGCCCTTCTTTTTCTGAAAGGGGTGGAGGAGGATGTACATATGGGAAAACTTTCCATCCCCTACAACCCTTGCCCTGGTATCTTTCTCCTAGAGCTTTCTTCCTATTACCGTATTATCTGAGATTTGCACCAAGTGATCACTGCTAGACCGTCTTCAGAGAACCATAGTGATTTAAGAGAACGCACAGTAATTCATACATATATGACCAATCTGGAATCTTTTTTGTAATTTTTAAGTAGTCCATATCATCTGTGCATACATATTCAAACACTTCATTTTATGGTTTTTTGTTGTGTTCTTTTTTTTACTTTTTTTGACTTTATTGGGGTGATACTGGCTAACAATGCTATGTAGGTTTTAGGTGCATGATTCCACAACACATCATCTGTACACTGTATTGTGTGTTAAGTTGTTAAAATTCAGAGTAGGAGGAAGCTGTGGGGAAAAAAAAAGTAAGATAATTTAGAATGGTTTTTGGATAAGAAACTTTGCCATTAAGTCCATTTTTTATCTAAACCTTCTAGTTTTAACAAAACTCATCATATTTATAGCAAGCTACTTTTGAAAAAAGCAGATTTGAATGTTTAAAAAGTCTTTTATTTATGAAAATCGCAACATCTGTGATGATTTGCCTGCCTCCCACACTTGGCTCTTCTTTTATATGCTGTACCAAGTATGAATTTACTATTAACTTTTTTTTTTTTTGAAACTGTGTGGGCTTAAACACATTCTCATCAATGAACTTTTTTTTTCATTTAAGAATTTTATATATTCTTTTTATAAAGACATGCTACTTGGAAGTTCAGAGACTTCAGTTGCTGAGAGGCTGGCAAAAACCAATTTTCTAAAGCATTGAAATCAAACATCACAATTCATCAAAACAGGTAAGTCCCTTCTCATTTCTCTTCCCTCCCTTCCTCAGCAATGAGACAAAGAGGTAAAATAAATCCACTTTTGGAGGACTGAAATAACCACTAAATATAGATGCTTTATGGTAAATCCTTTATAATAAAAGTCTAATATGCTAAGTATCCAGTCATCCGGTTGGCCATTCAACCAATTAAATATGCTAATGATATGCTAAAGCCGCTCAACTACTCACTATGTTGTGCACTGATCACTAGGGGGCAGACATTTGGCTGGTCTACCAGTTGCTATGATGTGCACTGACCACCAGGGGGAAGACTCTCCGATGAGTAGGTTAGCTTGCTGCTGGGGTCTGGTCAATCGGGACTGAGTGAGGTGGGCCAGACACATACCCTGGAGCCCTCCTGCAGTCCCTCCCTGGCTGGCCAACCACCCACGTACCTCCCCAGCCCCAATTGTGCACCAGTGGGGTCCCTCGGCCTGGCCTTCACCCTCTCACAATCTGGGGCCCCTCAGGGGATGTAGGAGAGCTGG